TTTTCATAAAAAAAATGTTTAAAACAATTTTAACAATAAAAAAAATCAAAAATATTGATGAAAAAATAAAGTAAAAGTTAGAGTGTTCTATATTTAAATACGATACAAAAAAATAAAAAACTAAGAATTGAAGATGATGTATGTCTGACTCATTTGTTAGTGTTCGCTGTGTAAATTGTAAAAGCCAATCGTAGAGTGACACAAGGCATCTAAAGGGCAATTTGAAAAATTAAAGCAAGTCTCCAATCAAAGATAAACATGTGGCGGTTCATATTGGTAGTATTGAATCTGCATAGCATCTGAATAGTCAAGAGGCGTGAGATGACATAGTCTAACGGTTACCTACAATTCAAATTCAAATTCAGAAGGAAAAACCTAACTGCAAAATAGGCGTAGTGGGAGCTAGTTGAGCGAAGCCATGACTAAAGATCGTGGAAACGTATTTCGACGATTAGAAGGCCACTTCAACGGTTATTACTAAAAAGTATAAATAGCAGAGGGGGCTAAATAGAAGGGACCCAGATTCATATCCAGAAATCAATTTATTTACTTCATTTTCTTTGTAATTTTATATTTCCAGTTCTTTATATTTCCAGCACTTCAATTCTTGTACTGCACTTCATTTTCTAGGAATAGTTTTTCAATAGTTTGTTGCTGTGAACTTTGTCAAGGCTGAGTCATTGTAATTTCATTGTAAGTTTTCATTTACTTAATGAAATTTGATTTCTGAATTATATTTACTTGTTACTATTCATAATTTTCTTCTAAATAAGCCACCAGTAAAAGTCCTCTTCATTGAGGCTGAAAGAATTTTAACACAATCGCTTGATAATTGGTTGATAATTATAAATTCTATAATAACTAATTGATCCTTACTGACATGCTTAAATTTACATTATTAACCTTCGAAAGCCAAAAAAAACCAACAGTTAGTGAAAATGAAACAGCCAACACACTACATATTTGATTCAAAATTGCACTGAGAATGTTAGATGATGCAAATATCAACCTTAAACATTTATTTTTTTTTCTCAAGTATTACTCTCTTAATTTTTTTTTTACAATTTAATAAAATAAAATAATTATGAATTTACTTACAAAAAAAATATATATATATAAACGTGAGCTTATCAGATGCAACCAAGTCTGCAACTATTATGGTAGCTATGTCAAGTTGAATGGCAACGGGAAGCTTCATATATAGATATATTAAAAATGTTACGAACAATAAGAAAATATTTCAAAAAAAGCGTCTCATATGGTCAGTTGACTGGAAAAATTTAGGAGGCAAAGGTTTCGAAATTTTTGAAATAATTTCAAAATGTGTGTTTTTTTTTTTTTTTTTTTTTTTTGTAATACATAACATTGTTATATATATATATTTATGTTATTGTGTTTATTTGTTTATTTGTTTATTTGTTTGTAGAAAATTTGTGTTGACTGTGGCGAAGTAAACGCCTTTAGGCGTGAAAGTCAGGGCATTCGTGTATTCAAAATTCAATTCAAAGAGATGACTGAGAATCAACGGATGAGGGAATCATAAGAACTTTCAATTCAACAAAGTTAATTTATAAATGTTGAATTCAAATATATCCAAATAGGTAATGGATATGGACAAAATTAAGAGAAGATTATAAGGAGCCATGACTCTTTTACTTTTGTGAAAAATTTTATTTTCTATAATACTTCTAAATATATATATCAGGATGCTGGCCCTTCTCATGATCCTTTTGCTGGAAGGGAGGGTGCTGATGCTTGATTTCATTCTCTTTTTATCTTATTCTAAAAAATTTATTTATTTTATTGAAGATTGTTTATATGATATTTGATTTTTTTAATATATATAAATATAATTTATATATTATATTGTACATACATGTATGTTTGTCTATATGATGAAAAAATGTTATTTATCTTTTGACTCTTGTGGTGATGAAATACTAATTCCGTCCATGATAATGCACACCGTGAGATATATATTCAATTTGAATAGAGGGGGGAGAGATTTGACACTACAAGAAAAGTGAGTTTATGAGACGGAACTATTTGCGACGGCACATTTGCCATCTCAAAAAGTCACTTTTTGCGACGGCAGAAAATGTCGTCTCAAAAAAACAGAGTATTTGCGACGGCATCATTTGCCCTCTCAAAAAAGGAGAGCATTAGTGACGGCACAATTTGCCGTCTCAAAAAATAAGAGTATTTGCGACGGCAGAAAATAACATCGCAAATGCTCTCATTTTTTGAGACGGCAAATATTGTCGTCGCAAATGCTCTGCCTTTTTGAGACAGCATTTTCTGCCGTCGCAAAAAGTGATTTTCGTGTTTTTTTTTTTTAGTGAATATTTTTAAAATTTTAAATATTTTTTTTAGATGCACCTTACTTAGATGTATCTAAAAAAAAATTATGAAAAAATATTTTTAAAAATTAATAAATACATAAAAATACAAAAAAAAAATGTATTGTATTTTTGGTATTTAGTGAATTTTTTAAAATATTTAAAAAAATTCAGTAAAAACAATATAACACGGAAAACAATAAAGTATAATTTTCTCAAAAGAGTTTTTGAAAAACTCTAACCTAGCATATTGATTGTGGTTTTGAGATAGCTTCATATATATACAGTCACAAAATGGTTTGAATAAATTCAACGGTATTTTTCTGTCGCAAAAAAAATTAAAAAAAACAATGTCGTCTTACTCTTTTGATATAACGTTTCTCTTTTCATTCATTTTTTCATCTTCCTGTCTCTCTGTCTCTCTCTTTCAACGGTATTCGTTTCTCTCTCTCTCTCTTCTTTCTCTATCTGTCTGTTTCTCTCTCTCATTTTCTCTCTGTGTCTCTCGCCTATCTCTCTTCTCTCTATCTCTTTCATCTGTTTTCTCTCTCTGTCTCTTTCGCTCATCTCTCTTCTCTCTATCTCTCTCATTTTTTTTCTCTCTCTCTCTCTCTTATCTTTCTATCTCTCTATGTCTCTCTTTTTTTCTGTGTCTCTCTCTCGTTCATCTCTTTTCGCTCTATTTCTCTCTTTTTTTGTCTATCTCTCGCTCATCTCTTGCTTCTCTCTCTTTTTATATCTCTCCCTCTATCTCTCTCTATCTTTTTTTCTGTCTATCTCTCTCCATGTCTCTCTCTCACTCATCACTCTTCTCTCTCTCTCTCTCTGTCTACTTGTCTATTTGTCTATTTCTCCCTCACTATGTTCGCCTTGTTCACCCTCTTACTCTCATCTTCTCTATTTATCGAGCTCCTTCTCAATTTATCGATCTACTATAAACAACATCGTCTTACTCTTTTGAACATTTCTCTTTTCACCCATTTTTTCATCTTCCTATCTCTCTGTCTCTCCCTTTCTCTATTTGTCTGTCTGTCTCTCCCTTTCTCTATTTGCCTCTGTCTCTTCTCTCTCTCTCTCACTCATCACTCTTCTATGTCTGTCCATCTCGCTCTTTCTCTCTGTGTCTCTGTCTCTTTTCTCTTTCTCTCCCTCACTCATTACTCTTCTTTGTCTGTCTGTCTGTCTGTCTGTCTTTCTCTCTCTCTCTTTTTCTCTGTGTCTCTCGTCCATCTCTTTTCTCCTTATTTCTTTCATCTATCTTCTCTCTCTGTCTCTCTTCTCTCTCTCTCTTCTTTTTTTCTCTCTCGCTCTCTTGCTCATCTCTTTCTGTCTCTCTCTCGTTTATCTCTTCTCATGATCCTTTTGCTGGAAGGGATTCTCTTTCTCTCTTTGTCTCTCGCTCATCTCTCTTCTCTCTCGCTCATTTATCTTCTCTCTATTTCTCTCGCTCATCTTTCTTCTCTCTTCATTTCTCTTTTTCTATGTCTTTCTCTCGATCATCTTTTTTCGCTCTATTTCTCTCTCTCTTTGTCTATCTCTCGCTCATATCTTGTTTATCTCTATTTTTCTATGTCTCTCTCTCTATCTCTTTCTCTCTCTGTCTCCCTGTCTCTCTTTCTCTATATCTCTTTCTCTCATTGTCCACAAAAAATTCATTTTTTTTCCCTCTTCCAAATCTAACCGTCCATCTCTCACTCACCATCTCACTCACCTATAACAAAAGAAAAAACCCTAATCTATAATCGGCTCCCTCACTCTCTCTCTCTCTCAGTCTCACCATCACTCACTCACCATCTCACTGTCTCTCTTTCTCACTCTCTCGTTTCTGGCAGCCGATCATTCAACGTAGAAACTTTCTGCACCGATCACTCTTTTTCTCATCTCATCGCACTGTTATAAGAATTTGCACCTCAAACATGTTTTTATACTTCATAAGGATAATTTTGAATCTATCCCTACCAACATATATATATATATATAAATGTTATATATATGTGGAGAAATTTCAGTACAGGTTGAGTTTCAAAAAACAATTACAAATAAGAGATAAATTTTATAAATATTAACAATTTTAATTTTAATTTTTTTCATGAATCTGTAATAATTTTTTTCTCTTTATCTCTCTCATCTCTCTTCTTTCTCTTCACCTTACTCACTCTCTCTCTTCCCTCTTCTCCACCACCGCCACTCCATCTCCTCTACCAATACTACAACTTCACCACTAATCTCCTTTGCCATTACCACCACCACCACCTCTTATCCACCACATTCACTACTATTGCCGCTCCCTCTTCTCTACCACAAAAAATTAACTTTTGATTTTTAATAACAAAAAAAATGAGTCACAAAAAAACATTTTTCATTGACCATAAAAAATTAACTTTATTTTAACAAAAAATATTTTTCATTAAAATATTACCCCTGCTTCTACCAAATAAAAAAAAATCATTAAAATAAAAATAAAACAAATTTCCCTACTTTTTCACTAACTCATCCTACGGCCTGCCCAAACTTCTCCCATTTTTTTCCCCTCTGCCTTTTTCCCCCTTTTTTTTTCATTTCCTTTCAGGCTTGTAGAGCCCTTAATTTCACAACACTTTCAAAACAATGAGCAAACCTATCTGAGAGAGAAAAGATAGAGGGTTTGAAGAGAGATTGAGGTTGAAGGGGAAGGGTTTCAATCGGCGGCGAGACTGGTTCAACAGCGGGAAGACTAGTTCGGCGGCGAGACGGTACGCTTCTTTTGACTCTTTTTTCGACTCTCTCATTCCAGTCGGTTCCTCTATATCTCTATGTTGCCCCCACCGCCATAGCCATAGTAGCTTATTAGTGGTGGTGGTTGTTTTCTGCGAGCATCGGTAATGTCGCAGAAGCAGCAGCAAGATGACTCCAAGGGTAGTTCGGAGGGCAATGGGTCCGGTGAAAAGCATCGCAAACATCCTTCTTTCAGAAGGTCTCTCTCTCTCTCTAATGGGCTCTCTGAATTCTATGGGGGAAAAAGGAATGAATCAAAATAGAATAAAATTAGTCCAATTTGGGGTTTAGGAAATCATTTCAAGAAGTGGGTGTACTGTTGATTTTAAGAGGTTTTGAATAGGTTGGCATTAAAAAATTTGTGGGTTTTGGTTGGAGAATTGTGTGTTTCAAAACTTGTTATGTTAATGCTAGACTATTGCTTAACATTATTATTATTAATATTATTATTATTATTATTATTATTATTTACCTTGTAAAAATGTGTGAGGTATTTTATGAGGTATTTTATTTCTTTGATTTCTAACCCTTTGTTTGATACATAAGTCACTGGTATGAGGATGACTAAGAATTTGTAAGAGATCCTTTAGTTACTGGTCATTATAAGCCACTGATTGCTGATCAATATGAGTGTTCCATTTTTTCCCTTTCTGATATAATTAAATTCAATAATGTTTGAATTCAGGATGTTCAAATTTGGAGACTTTGGTTCTTGTGTCTTGTTATGGGATGCAGAATTTGAAGATATGTTCTTCAAAGTTGAAGATGTTGTCGCTCTGGAACTTCTATTCTCGGAATGAGGTAGAGTCATTGGAGATTTGTACTCCGAATCTCCATTCGATTAGTATTGTTTGTTTTGAGATGGGAAGGTATTCTTTCAAGCAGACCCTGACTTTGGTTCAAGGGACGAAGAGAGGCATTACAAGTACTGGAGTAAGGTTGTAAGGTCATTCGGTGGTGTCAAGCATTTTGTAGTGTAAAGTTGGTGGTTTAAAGTGAGTACCTTTGTCCCTCTTCTTTGAAATTTTACCTGACACAGACATAAATACAAGTACAATTTGATATGCATTACATTTGAGACTAACTTGATAACAAGAAAGGGGGAAATTTGGTTTTTTCTTAGAACAATAATTTGTGACTGTTACAACTCAAATGGTTTGAGGATGAGGTTTGGTAATTATTTGGCCTATTGCTTGTTTTCATCTTCGCTCATCTTTGACTATGGCAACCCCATAGACACAATGTGATAATATTATCAACCAAGAGATTTGTAACAAAGTATGCTTTTAACTTGATTTGCTCAATTCAGATGAAAGTGTCTTTTACAGGTGGAAAATTTTGAGAAAATGTTCAGTCGATTGCAAACTGGATGAATGAGTTCCAGTCGATGAAGCTTAATATTATTAGAATTGGGTATAGTAGTGGGCACGATCCTTCATTATGCTAATACTAAACTCTGTAATTGGTTAATGTATATCAATGTTTTGAAGATCAATCGCATAAAATTTTCATTTACATGTTTTTAGGGTGGAACAAGAGGACAATTGAGATCGGCATGTTGTTTCAAGTGTGAGATTATTTTTAGTCTGCATTAAAATCTTTGTAAAATGTAACCTTTGTTTTTTTGCTGCAACTTGCAAGCCCCCATAGGGAGTCTCTTACTGGTCATTATTTGGTCAGTTAATTTCTTTTGTCATGTTGGAGTCACATTGAAATCCATCAAAGATAGGATACCTGCTACTGAAAAAAAACAAAATCGTTAATTTAAACTCGAACAACTACCTGTATATTTGAAGTGCGTTTGAAGTGATGCAATTTTCTCTTTTCCTATTCCCTGTCTACTAATTGTAATAGAAAAAAAGAAAAAAGAAAAAAAGAAAGTGCTTTGTATATCAATGTTTTGAAGATCAATGGCATAAAATTTTCATTTACATGTTGTTAGGGTGGAACAAGAGGACAATTCTGTGAAGAAAGCACTTCAAAGCCATCTTCACCAAACCTCAAGAGCTCAGGCACTAGGAAAGAGGTAATTAAACACAGAATTTGCTATTACAATGACACGAAACCATCTTCACTAATCCTCAAAATGCACTTGAAAGTTTGGCCTTTGTAACTTGGCTTTTAGTTTCATGCAACATATATATTTTTTCTTCTCTAGCTTGTTCTTATCGTCTCTATTTTCTTACTACTCTCTCACAAACAATTCATCTTAACCAAATGCACGTGTGAAAATAAATTTTCTTTCATTCTTCATCATATTTTTCACTCTATTCAAACAGACCCTAAACAAATTATTGAAATCAGACAATAAATTTACATGTTTTCATAATTTAGGTAGCGAGCAGATTGATAGAAAAGAAAGAGAAACAATAATTCTATGGACACAGAATCACGGAACATAATGGTGAAGTGAACCTTTTCCGTGGCGTGTGTCTGATGTATATGACTATAGTATTCTGTAATCCATTTTGTAATTAGTTATGTGCATTGAAAAAAAAGACAAGAAGGGCCTTAATCAAGAACTTGTTTTAACATTGTGATAATATAATATGTAAAAAATAGTTAGACAAAATGGATAAAGTCCGATTCAATTGCAATAAAAAAAACCTTAACATTTATGAATTGTCTCATATTTTATTTATCAGCAGGTTATAATTGACCAAAGCCATTGAGTACCCTTTTTCTTGGTATCTCATTGTTGAATGCTCTAGGAATCTGAATATACTAATTAATCGTGCCATGTGATGACTTCAAATTTTTGTGCCCATTTTTTTCACCAAAAGAATATTGAATTTTTGTATTAAAAATTTGTTTGATTTGAATTCTTGTGATCTTAGGATCCCTAGGTCTTCAGAGCCCATTAACTCTATATAGATGTTTGAATCATTAGGCAAGTTTTAGATAAATTGATATAAGTAATTGAAGCATTAAATTGAAGGGTTATCTTTCCCAAGTGATTGATACCTCAAATTTTATTGCAGACCACAAAAGTAAAAATGGTTAAATATATTGTCTGTCCTTAAAATATGCCTTATGTTTCATTTTGGTTTATAATATTTCAATTATGTCAATTTAATTGATCTAAACGGTTCCAACTCTGTTTCTATCCAAATTTTATCTAAATTTCAACCAAAGTACCTCTTTTCGGTTATAAAATTTGAAAGGAGGTGTTTGGAACATTTAAATGATGTCTTTCATTACATTTTTTTTTGTGTGTGCTGAATTCTTTAACTTCTCATAAATTAAATTTGTTCTTCTTATGTATACTCTAGTTCTTTTCTGGTTTGTGAGATTGTATGTTGGAAACTTGGAATATACATTTGAATTTATCATAATTGATTAACTTGTATATAACATTTTTTTGTTCCTCTAGCATGATGAACTTGAATCAGCAAAAGCTGAGATGACAGAATTGAGACAAGAAAATGCAAGATTAAAGATGATGTCAGAGCAAATAGAGAAGGATTAGCATGATGAACTTTTGTTTTTGTTATTTACGAAGAATGATGAGAAAAATATTTAATTTTGATTTATGTTATTTTGAATTATGAACAAAATCATGTATTTAAACATTATATATGATTATGGAACATTATGTAGTGGAATAGTTTTGTTGATCACTACAACAAATTGGGTCTTGGATGACGAATTTTTTTTGTCTCCAAAGAACTAATTTCGTCAAAAAAAAAGACTATTAGCGACGGTAATTTTTGCCGTCTCAAATAACATTTTTAGCGACGGTAAAATAGTGCCGTCGCAAAAAGTCAAGAAATTTCAAATATTATTAGCGACTGCAAAGTGCCGTCGCAAAAAGCAAAAATGCCGTCGCAAAACATTAATGCCGTCGCAAAAACTCTTTTGCAACCCCCCCAATTGCGACCCCCCTCTTGCCGTCGCAAAAAGTCATTTACCGTCGCAAAAAGTTTTTTGCGACGGCATTAGGAGTATTAGCGACGGCATTTTGCCATCGCAAAAAGTTGAAATTTTAGTAGTGTGAAAACATGTTTAGTATTAGAAATAATAATTTTATGGATGATTAAATTTTATATTATCATTTAATGTATGATCATTACATCAGTGCAATGGAGTTCATTTTTAAACATTACTCATTTAGAAAACGTAGTGTTTTATTTTTAGAGCAAACTTCACTTTACCCTCTTATGGTTTTGGCCATGTGCGAATTATCCCCCTCACGTTCGAATATCACCACATAACCCTCCTGTGATTAATGGAGCGATGTGCACAGTTAGCTTTTCCATTAATTCTAACAGGCCGTACATGGCACGTGCCTAATATACAAATGGGCATAAAAATATGATTTTTCCTCCGAATTAAATGACTAAAATGTCCTCATCTTCATCATTAATTTCCAAAACCTAACCTCATCTTTATCATCAATAGCTAGATATTTATTTTTCAAAACACAACACATCTCTCTCTCAATTTCACATCTTCTTCCTCCAACTCAAGACCAAGAACAATGAATAAAAATTATAGCACTTTTGAAAATCAAAACCTCCCAAAAACTCAAAACAAAAATCTAAATTAATTTAAAAAATATAGGCCTCGTTTGGGAAGTGGCTATTTTAGTAGGCTATTTTAGTTTTTGGCTATTTTAGTAGGCTAAAATTTTTGTGTTTGGGAAGATGATTGGATTTTTTTGTGGTTGGATGTGATGTTTGTGAGAGAAAAAGTGAAATGATTATGGGTTTGATGTGATATTTTGTCTTATTAGCTATTTTAGTCTATTTTGTTTTTTTGTGATTTTTAGCCTAAACTAGGCTATTTTTTTTCTTCCCAAACACCCCTATAGTTTCTATCAAAAATTAATGTATATATATATGTATATATATAATTTGTAGCTATATATATGTATATATGTTGGGAATAAGGTACAAGAATAAATTATAGCTATATGTATATAACCTGTAGCTATACATATGTATATATATAATCTTCATCATTTTACATGTATATATAATGTAGCTAAATAATTTTCTTTGACTTTGTCTTGGACGTTTATTGTGCTTCGTTGATGATGATGCTGTAACAACTCCGACCTATGATTAACGTTAATTCGTACTTAATTATGCCTAACAGTAATTTAGCAGGGATTTGGAATTAATTTGCATGTGTATTGCATTATTCCTTGTGTCTCTATCTGTTCGGTGTAGAAAGATTTATTCTAGCTTGAACTTCGATTTGCGAATTAAAAGCCTTATCGGCATCCGAATCAGAAATTGACTTGATTTATGTGTTAATTAGGATTTATAGAAATTTATGGTAGGCTTAATTAAAATTCGGTTCGGAGCGATTAAATTTGATTAAAATAATGCCATTTGATTAGTTTTGATAATTGACTACCTATAAGACCATTTTGTCACTCCACTCACCTCCTTTTCTTGATTTCAAAGTCCTTTGAGCCTATTCTAAGGGAAAAACGTGAGAGAGAGGAAGAGTAGAGGGAGGTTGAGCTCAAATGAAGAATTGACTAGGGGATTGAAGCCAATTTGAAGCTTTGGGTTAGGACCACATTTGAAATCAACCTTACGTAAGAACTATACTCTTAAACCTTGTATTTGAGACACTAAGTAAATGAACTCAAGAAGGTCAGGTGGTCATTTAAGCTAAGATTGGAGAATTGAAGCTCAATGCATACATGCATGTGTAATTCATGGCATTTGAGGTCTTTTTTTTAAGGAATTCTTGCATGCATGTGTGGACGCGCCCTCTGGCTTTATGCTACCACAGTTCGGACTCATTTGTCACGGTTCTTAATCTGAACTCGCAATATGCAATGCAAGACTGATAAATCACCAAAGAGTCCAAATCCGGCAAATCGTTTTGGAAAACAAATTTTTAAGAAAGAAGTGTCAAACATGGACAGCTTTGCCAGATACAGAGTCGCCACCTAAATATTTATTTTAGGGGATTTAAGAAACCCTGACTCGTTGCCTAAGGCCACGTGTCTGTCATCACCAAAGTTGCCTCGGCTCGGGAACTTGGGTACGATTGGGGAAGGTCATCTATGAGCACCCCCACTCCCCCGATCAAAGATCGGCCTGTACTAAGCATGATATTTTGTTTTTGAAAACACATGTGTTCTTATTCCCATTAATTAGCTAGAATTACTATGTGATGCGCACAACACACAAGTATAGACTAGATCACCTAATTTGGAACAAAGCATCGCATGTTTGTTTGAAAATGGTTTGAAGGTGCTACTCGTAAGTAGGTGTAGACACCCCATTTTGACCGTTCTCAAGACTTGGACGTCATCGTTTGAACACTTGGTGATCATCCATGTTCGTGTTCATTTGGAGATCCCGAAGGACTCAGCTGCACGCCCTGCCTTAGGATCTCTCGACTTGACTGTTTTTGTGCTTGGTTGTGAACCAAGGACTTGTGGTTTTTGCACCTGAGGGTAGGAAATGGCTTGTTAGCCATCCCTTAACCCCACCGACCGTGGCATGAAGCCACCGGCCTTGTTTTCTTTCTACCGACCAATTTTTTGGTCGGTCAGCACAGATATTTGGTCAGTCGGCCATTTATTTGGCCGATTGTCTCTTTTTCTGGCCGGTGCCTCATTTTTGCCTTTTTCAGGCATTGTGCATGCCAGTTATGCCAGTTGGAGTGTACGGACTTGTCCTCCATACACGTGTATGGAAGACTTGCACCCTTTGCACCCTTTTGCTCTAAGCTTTTTGGAGAAGCTTAGACCCTTTGTTTTAGCTTCCTCCAGAAGGCTTGCACCCTTTTTCTTAGCTTCCCCAAGAAGCTTGGACCTTTGGTCTAGTTTATTGAGAAAGCTCGGCCCCTTTGCCTTAGCTTCTCTAAGAAGCTTTAGTCCCTTGTTTGTTCTATAAAAGGAGGCCTCCCCTTCCTTTAGAGAGGTTCAGCAAATCAGGCATATATATCTGATATATCTCTCTCTATATATATATATATCTTTCTCTCTCTCTACATTTGTGTGTGTTAGAGTGCCTTAAAGTGTGTTTTGTTCTTGGTTTTGCACTAAAACACCTAGTGTTACACCATAATTGAGTTGTTAAGGTGTTGAAGGACTGATTTCAGAGCTTTTAGGTTGGTTTTGATCAGAGGAGTGGGCTGAAGTTGCTGTTCTTGAAGTGTTCTTCAAGGGTGAGCAATATTGCTTTATATTCCCCATTCTTGCGCTAACTTTTAACATATCTTGCATGCTGTTTTAGGCTTAGTGTATAACTAATAAAAGCTCTGATTTTTCATGTTTAAGATGTTTCATTAAGGTCATTTTTTTGTTTGGGGTCGACTTCCCCCTCTTAGACCTTGTTTGGCCCTTTTGCGCCTTCTTTGTTTGAGCTTTGAGAACTGTCGTGTATTAGCCTTCTCACCACTGAAATCCAGAGGATTTTCAGTGGTGGTAAAGGGGTTTTGAGGTCTTGCATAGGGGAGGGACACCCCTCTCCCCTTATGTCTCATATGCTTGTATTTTTGGCTCATAACGGTAGCATGCATGCTTAGTTGGTTTTAGTTCCATCTCAGAGGCTTTTGGGTGTTATTTGGTCATATTATACCTCTATTTTTGGTTGGATTGATAGTTCATTGCATGCATTATACACTTGCTTTGTAATCCCCTTTATTGTCATAACATGCGTCTTGCATTCGAACCATCATGCTCACATATTTTGGCTTAGCTTTGTGAAGTTTTTAGTCATGTTTTACCATGCTTGAGGTCTGTCCTTGGTTGTCTTAGCCATGTTTGCCATGCTTTATATAGCTTCTTTGCATTCTAGCTTGTAGGCTTCGAGTGTATGAATCACGAGCATGTTTTGCTTGAGCCATTTCAGTGATTTGGAATCACTTATCATGCTATTTCAGTCCATATTTTATACTTGTATGCTTGCATCTACCACCCTTTCAATGTCTTGAAGAGTTGTGGTCTTATGCTCCATGTTTGGGCCATTGTGCATGCCTCTTTGTTTAAGTCATTTAGATGCCATCTAAGCGGGTTTTGGGATACACTTGCTTTGTAATCCCCTTTATTGTCATAACATGCGTCTTGCATTCGAACCATCATGCTCACATATTTTGGCTTAGCTTTGTGAAGTTTTTAGTCATGTTTTACCATGCTTGAGGTCTGTCCTTGGTTGTCTTAGCCATGTTTGCCATGCTTTGTATAGCTTCTTTGCATTCTAGCTTGTAGGCTTCGAGTGTATGAGTCACGAGCATGTTTTGCTTGAGCCATTTCAGTGATTTGGAATCACTTATCATGCTATTTTAGCCATATTTTATACTTGTATGCTTGCATCTACCACCCTTTTAATGTCTTGAAGAGTTGTGGTCTTATGCTCCATGTTTGTGCCATTGTGCATGCCTCTTTGTTTAAGTCATTTAGATGCCATCTAAGTGGATTTTGGGAGACATTTTGGCATATTAAAACTCTGTTTTTGGTTGTATAATCCATGCCATGTGTGGTCATGATAGTTGTAGTGGAATGCTCCCTTTTATGCCTTAGTTTTAGGCCCATTGGT